TTTTTTTTTTTTTTTTTTTTAGTTCTTCCTGTTTGGCCAGCCGTGTTGAAAGGGGGTGGTGGTTGTGGAGGAGTCTACGGCGGGAGGGGGGAGGACACAGAGTCTGGTGTGGGTGAATTGGGGATGTAATGGGGACTATGGCTGATTTGGTGGTCCTGCCCATTTTTTATGTGTGCAGGTCGCAATGACGAGCAGCAAGTTCGTCGCCGACATGGTTAAGGAGAGATTTGATCAAGGAGCAGCACGTTCGGACCCCTCAGACCCCCTATAATAAAAAAAAAAAGTCCCGCACGGCTCCGCACGGTGCGGTACACGTAGCGCACGACCCCGCACATTTCCGCACCCGCACAGCCACCCCCCGCACGGATCTCCGCACGGATCTGGTCTGTGCGGGTGCGGAATGTGCAGAATGTGCGGAGATCGAGCACCTCCCGCACGCCGTACTCCGCACCGCACCGCACGAATGTGCGGCTCGTGCGGTTGCAAGTATGCTCCAAACGGATGATGACGTGTGTCCGTCGGTTCACTGCACAATCACACCTGCAACGAAACCAAGAACGAAACAAGATGCGAAATGCGAACGAGAAGTTTTCCAGTCATACACACAACCCTAGGCGCACTGCACAATCACGCCCAGAAATCGCCGGAGGAATCAAAATTGCAACGAAAGCAAGAAAGAAACAAGATGCAAAATGCGAACGAGAAGTTTTCCAGTCATATACACAACCCCATGTAACCACGCACTCGCGCCTACACTCCCAACCAAGGCCATACACTCACAAGATCTCACAACACTATGACGATCACAACTCGCGCACACACACACACACACACACACACACACACACACACACACACACACACACACACACTGACTCTGACTGACATGGGCAAAGCAGCATCAGAGAAGGAGAGTCATTATGACTTCTAACTTCATGTAAACTATAAATGTGCGCGCCACGCGTCCTATCATCATCATCATCATCATCATCATCATCATCATCATACGCAGAAATGGGGCAACTACCATCGCCAACCGCGGATTTGCACACACCTCTCTCCACTTCTCTCCAGCTCAACCTATACCGATCCTATCGCAAGCAGCTCATCCCACACGCTGTCACTCTGCCCAGTCCTTCGGGTGCAACGAGCTTATTCCGCACCATGGTATACTTGTGCACTCTGCACAGGATTGCACAGAGAAACAAGATGCACAGACTTATAGCACAGAAGGCAGTGGGGCGTCGGCACGGATAGCGGGATTCCTTCTCGGCCCCGGTGCCTGCAACCGCAGTCCAGTCAGTCAGGTTAACCCAGCCAAAATGGTGGAAGGGGGTGATGGTTCTGACGGGTAGACACTGAGGTAGGACTGGGGGAGTGCGGATGCGCCAAGGAGCATTAACGAGAGGAAGACTGGGTGACGGTCTCCTTAAGGCTAGGACCCCGCCGCCCSCCCCCCCCATTAAAAAAAAAAAAAAAAAAAACGCTCTCTCAATCACCAGTTCAGCATCAACCTGCCCCCAGGCAAACAGAATAAGTCAACAACCCACGCCACATATGTACAGGTCTCTAAACCTTCCCCCCTTTCTCCCCCCCGGCAAAGGTTTCTAGAAAGCTTAATTTAATTTACTGATAAACCTTGCCACCGAAATTGTCTCACAGCATAAGAACATGACTTCACTCCCTCCCTAGGCTGTTCATAAACACACAAGGGCCAATGAAGAAGACACCCCAATTCCCTCCCTTGGCACCACTGATGAATTTGGGGGGGGGTCGGAAGAAGTGGGGTCGGGAGGGATGGGGTCGGGAGGAATGGGGTCGGGCCAGGGGGGGGGTTGAAGTAGATGCCAACCATCTCAGCCAGAGGTGAGGAAGAAGGCAACCAGGTTAAGGGAAAAAAAAAAAAAAAGGACAAAAAAGAAGACAGCTAGACTTATGGTCACAGGGACGGTACATCTACTAGGTCAATCGCATTTCTTCAAAAGACAGGGAGACAAACGTGATGGTGAACGCAGCAAAAGACGCCGTCATGCACAAACATACAAAGAACAAACCTCATTACTTTGGAAGAAAAAAAGGTCACTGGGTTCGTTCAACTTAGTTATGTACCTTTATTTCGGGGAAGAACTTTCCATTATCTGGATCTGCTTCGGAGACGAGCTCCACTGATTTAAGATTAATACCAAGCCTGAAATCAACACCCTCTTTAGTGATCTGATCTTGAACAATGTCCGCAGCATCACGATCTTCCTTGCCGAGAAAGTTCTTTGAGCGATTCAGCAGCACAACCTGGGCCAGCAGAAAATTACAGACCAATAAAGAAGCCATCACGTGTTTCAATTTCAGGCTCGATAGCACTAGCAATTTCAGACTCGATAGCACTAGCAATTTCAGACTCAGCAGTAGGTTCAGGGAACCCGAGACGGTCTGCAGAATCCCCATATTGATGTTTATAGAGTCATGATCTCATTTAGCCCATGTTGTAAAGAAACATATGGCCAACAGCTGCCATAACAAACAGCAAGGCAAGTGCAAGGCAACAAGGCGCCGGACAGCACGGAGCAGTGATGCACCTGGGTTGGAGGGGACGGGGGCGGTGGTACCGCATGACAAGGTAAGCGACAGAGCCACACAATGAGCAGCAGGCAATGAGGTAGCAGGTGCAAGGCAACGCCGCAGCAACTGCAAGGCAAAGACACACCGTAGCAACAGAGCGACAAAAAAGCGGGCAAGGCAACAAGGCGGCGAGGCTGCAAACCAGAGCGGGAGGGGTGAAGCCGATGTGCAGCCACGCAGCGAGGCAGCAAACATTGCAAGCAAGAGGTCAGCCAAGCACTGAGACAGCACCGAGAAGGCAACCCCTGGAACTCACGCAAAAGTGCAGAAGCCAGTGCCGACGAAACAGTCCACTCATGTGTACAGCAAGAGCCAAAGCAGATCATAACCTACTCACACCACACAGAAAATACAGACTGTCTCCATGCCACCATTGGCGCCAGGGAGTCACTTCGAGGAATGTTTCTGTGTCATCAGCCAAAGAACATAGACACGCAGGCATCGCGGACACAGCGTCCCCCCATCAGCATTGCAGGCACTCCAAACACAGAGGCAATGACTATTTGGCACATCACGAAGGTGCTCATTTCATTTGGACACAGACAAGAAGCACTGGAAACGACCAGAGAACGCCCAAAGTGGACAGCAGAAAGGAAATACTTGCATGAGAAGAAGAAAAGAATAGGTTAGTCATAGACAGATAAAAATGTCATTGTAAGTGTTTTGTCATGTTGGCTATGCAAAACTCCACCAAAGCACGCATGAATGCGCCAGAGTGTTTTGTCGGACTTTCACTGACTCATCATTGTGTGTGTGTGTGTTTTAGATTTTCCCCACAACAGCCCCAATTCCACCCAGGTGAATAGATTCAGAATCAAAGCAGTCTTTGTCCTATTGCAGACAACGAGAGCATTTGAGATGTCCAACATTTTAAAGCAATTTTATAATCAGACAGTTTTTGGTTGTCCTTGGGGTACCCCTTTCATTGTTCTTGCAGCCCCCTTTTACTGTGCCTCTTACGCACAAGGCTGCCCACATTGATTGTGGTTGAGCGGATGTGTGTGTGCTTTTCAAAAGAACCCAAACTCTCTCTCTCTCTCTCTCTCTCTCTCTCTCTCTCTCTCTCTCTCTCTCTCTCTCTCTCATTTCATCCACAAATCGTCACAAACCATCCATAAAACAAAAAAAAATGTAGACGGGCAATATAGAAGAAGATGCAAGGTTGGTCACTCTGGTGTGGTTAAGCGCCAAGTGCCCACACACCCATCTGCCACCGAAGCGGCACGCTTGCAAAAATATATACGTTTTTAAGTTTTAAGTTTTCAAGTTTTAACCCATAAAAGGATGGAGGGCAAAAGAGGCAACATACTTAACAAACAACAATTACAACAGAACTAAAAAAAATGGTTGCAGCACAGCAGAAAGGGCTCCACTAACAAGAAAGCACGGACCATGCCCGCAATTGATCTAAAAAACTTAGACAGCTGTCCATGTCGGCCCCCCACAAAGCCACCATTGGTCACACAAATACAGCAATACCGGCACTACTATTCATTGCAAACTACCCATTCACGTCACCATCATCTCTATCACACCGTGGCTGGACAACCACCCTTTCATTTTCTGTACGGCCCCTTGAGTGTAAGGAGTGACGTAATCCCGAACTCCACAGGATCTCCATGCAACGTGAGGAGCACTACTGCATACCACACCCTAGAAGCTTTCCCATTTCTTCCATGCGCTCCAAAAGAGCAGCTCGTGGGAATGACACCCACAGCAAACACTCTCTGAGCCTCCTCACAAAGATACCTTGGCCAAAACTCCAGACATACATTCCCACCCCCAAAAAACACGTTGCCACCCACATACATTCCTTCACAACGAGACAGCTCATGCTCTAAAGCAGGGCAAAGAATTAGGCCATGTGTAATACACAAATCAACCAAACAAAACATCCATCCACAAAAGAAGAACAGCCCCACTCACCATTGTGTTTGTGTGTGTGTGTGTGTGTGTGTGTGTGTGTGTGTGTGTGTGTGTGTGTGTATGTGTACGTGTATGTGTACGTGTATGTGTATGTGTATGTGTATGTGTACGTGCATGTCACTTTCCAGATGTGAATAGTGACTTTCTCTTTTCGGCATGTTCTGTTATTCCTGCTTTTAATGTCGAGCGACCTCAGGAGCTAGACACGTGCCCGATCAATACACTGCACAGTGCACATACGCAAAAGGATGCTGCTGTAGAAAGAACAAGTGAAAGGCGAGGGGAGGCTGCCTACCTTCGACCCAAATCTTTGAAAAGCCTGCGCCAGTTCTGAGCCGATTGGCCCGGCGCCAATGACACCCAATCGCGCAGGAAGTCTCGTTAGGTTAAACACAGTGGAATTTGTCAAGTATGGAACCTTATCCAAACCAGGAATGTCCGGCACTGCCGCTGTTGCACCGGTTGCGATCACTGCTTTGGAAAAGTGAAGAACCTGCCACATGTTTGAATACCCAAGGACCACCACATATACATATCATTATATAATTATAATAATAATAATAATAATACCTTTAACTAATGAGAGGTACGTTGCATAATGTACACATAAGAGGCCTTTCCATACGAAACGTACAGGTAATATCTGTACGGGATCTGTACGGGAACCTGTACAGGAACCTGTACAGGAACCTGTATCAGAAAAAATCAAAAAAAAAAAACTATGTGATGCAGCAGAACAAAACAAGCAACATTTGGCTGAGCATCATCCGCAGATTCTTATTAGAATTTGAGAAAAGAAATAAAAACAATACCGGATTAAAAAAAAAAAAAAAAAAAACTTGTACGGGGCCCCTAGCGTACGACTAGCGTACGAGTACAGGAGTACTCGTACGAGGGTGAGTGCACGTGGCAACGCAGAATGCGAGAGGCAATGAACTGCAGTGAAGTTTCGATCAGCCTCCGTGTGAGCGTCTTGCAATCTGGATAAGGTTTGGATAAAGTTCACTGCAAGATACACACACAAAGGTACCCACTCAAATCGGGAGGTACCCACTCAAATCCGAAGTCACCCACACAAATTGGAAGGTACCCACATAAATCGGAAGGCACCCACACAAATCGCAAGCTACCCACATAAAACAATCGGAAGGTACCCACATTCATCGGAAGCTTCATTGCAGTCTTGATAAGGTCTCATTATCAGGGTTCACTGCAATGACGCTTTGTGTGGGGTACCTTCGGATCTGGATAAAGTTACAGTTCATAAGTTGCCTCAGAAATATCAGGTTCACAAACGCGATCTGGATTCTGGATGAAGAAAAAAATAGTATGTAAGATTATCACATTATTATTATTATTATTATTATTATTATTATTATTATTATTATTATTATTATTTTAATTAATTATTTAATATTTATTGGGGAATTTCAAATTTGACAGCATACCAAATTCATAAGTTGTGTCTATCAGTCGATCATTGGTTGGGAAGAATCCGTATCAACCAAAAAATACTATTAATAAATAAATAAATAAAATAAGTAAATAATTTAAAATAAATAAGTTGTATCAAGTATTATCAACCAGCCACCAGGCAGGAGCAATCCAACATCATGCCTCAGACTCGCAGAGCTCAGGGGGGTTCCTCTTTTTTTTTCTTCTTAAAAGGCAGATTTTTGCACCCCGGGGACCGGTCCGGACTGTCCGGTCTCCGGTGATGTCCGGATCACCGGACAGTCCGGACCGGTCCAGACACTGGTCCGGAAGACAGTCCGGAAGTGTCCGGTGTCCGGTGTCCGGGTCCGGGGTTACCATGAAAAAAAAAGAAAAAAAGATTTTGTGTTTCATGTGTCGTTTGTGGTTTGTCTGTCCCGTTCAGTTCCCCCGGTTTTCACCGTCCATTCGATGGTTTTCACATCTGGTGTCCGCCCATCCATTGCCACTCTTTGATTTTTGAGACCCACCAGACCTTTGCCCCCAAGCTCTACCGCGCCTCTGCCAAACGACGTAGACCTGGGTGCAGTTTACTGCAATAGCAGAGACAGGCAGGGGCGTGAACTGGTAAAAGAACCGGCATGGGCCTCCTTTTGGCTGGCGCCACCAGCCATTTTGGTCTGGTACCCGGACCCCCGAAAGTTGCAGCTGTATACAAGCCGCATATTTGTTTTTCAAGCAGGTAAAGGTACTGGTGGTTTAAATTTGATGGCGAATCTCCGGATGACCCTCAGCCAAAAGTTGTTTGATTTGCAATTCTGCAGTAAAATCGTTTTTTTTTTTCCAGAGAGATTTCCTTGTTTTTTTTTTTCTTGCACTGGGGCTGTCTGGATCTTGATCAGGACTTTGCCCACACCTGACCCGGCTGAGCCCATCCGGGCCAGTCAGAGGCAACTCAGGTGGCCCGGCTGGTAGCCCCACAAAAAAAGGAATAGAATGGAAGAAGAACAACTGGTTAGAGGGGTCACACCCACTTTACTCACTCTGCAGAGTGCGCATGCATATAATTAGAGACTTGAAAAGACATACGGAGAGGGAAAGCGAAGCTTCCACAACTTCGGGATGTATTTTTTTATTTCTCGAGGTAGTGGTGGTTTAAGAGTTTTGGAGGGAAACCATCCGGTGAAATTTGGTCACATTGCAGTTCAGTAGTTTCTAGTTTTTAAGTTTATTCGGGCATCAGTTCTGTGCACAAATCCCACCCCTGCATCTTCAGATCACTTCCGCAGACATGCATATAAAATTATAAATATATTATTGCACACAATTTATGGTCGCAAGCCTCCTCAGTTATACTCACTCACCTCTCCTGCAACCTCGAGTGTAGTCGGGCTTTTGAATTCTCCTCGGCCAAAGTACACATCCACTCCGAGGTCTTCTGTGAACCGTTTCGCAGAGTCGTTCACGGAGATCTCTGTGCATACCGAAGGAAAGCATCATTTCCTATCCCACAGCTGTATTCAGTGTCACTAAATAAATAAAAGCACGAAGAACGATAAATCTCTAATATTCAGAAGTAAGTTATTAGATTATTATTAAATTATTATTGAATTATTATTAATTTATTATTAAATTATTAGATTATCAAATTATGATTAATTGACTAGAAACCAGGGCCTTATAGCCAGGGCATGCCCAGTCGTCTCTTCCCGCCAGCGTACCCTGGCATGTAAGAACTATGGGAATTTCAAATAGATTTAATAGAAAGAATATCCTTGTTATTAATACTTATTATCATATTATGTTAATGTCAATTCACTGAATGTTACTTGTTGTCAATTTGAACCGTTTAGTATTTTCTGTATACCTAGATGACATGATGGGTCAGTTATTTTGTAATGAACCAGGTCTGACAGATACTCAGAAGTCGTCAAACATCAGTAGTCTCGTTATCTGCAACAAAGTCTCCGAATCGTGCAGTGATATCTCAAACAGTATCTCATTACCATCAAAAGAAGAGAGTGGAGGGGGAATAGACAGAGGAGAAGATGAAAGGTCACACAATAGTAATCCCCTCAGACCCCTCTCCTTCTCCGGGCTTCTTCCCTCTCTCAAGTCAACAATGATAACAAGTGTAATCCTGATCACACACAATAGTGCCACGTGGCACTCTATCTCGTGAAGACCAAGAAGACATAGCAGATTCCAGTGACGACGTCAACCTCAGGTGAGTACCCGATCTCCTTCATCAACAGATCCCGATCTTTCTCCTCCTCGCAACCAGTCACCTCATGTAGACAGCATGGACAATGCCACGTCAGCAGTCGAGACAGGTGGCATAGGTGTTTGTTATAAAGATAACCACTAATGATAATCAGTAAACAATGTTTGTTATAAAGATAACCAATTAATAACGAATTTGAAAGGTATTATGATTAGGTCTCTTTGAGATCACTATGATACCGGGAGTTCTCCGAATAAGTGAACTGCCCGGTAGTTGCAATTTAAGGGTCAAATACGGCTTAGTGTGCTAAAAAATTTCGGAAAATTTCAGAAGAAAAAATGCGCGAATTTTCGAAAATACGAATTTTC